GTTGACAAGATCAAAGGGCTAACGTTAATCCCTGCTGGCCGCTTTCCATCATATATGCCGGTAGTTAACTAAGAAAATTGCTTGAATAGTTCACTGGTTTTTCTTTTGCTGCTCGTTTTCGTTCTTGTCTCATCACATCATATTTTTTTGTTATTGTGCTACCTATATATATCTGTGGAGTCAAAGCCAATTATTAAAGCAGTAGTCATCGTTTACTGGTGACATCGTGATCCTTGTAACCTTTCCTTCGAGTTTTGAGCGTCAGTGCGTTGGATGCTGTTGTTTTTCGGTATCACATGCTTAGATAGGCCGAGCACAAGAAATAGAAATGACCAGCCGCACTCGTCGCTTTAGTGGCAGCAACAGCAGCAGCGTCAGTACGGTCCTGGCAGTCCTATTTTGGTTCTTGAAGCGTGCTGCTGGTCGGCGTCATGGACTTCAATGGCAGGCTATTATATGACCATTTATTTTGCCATTCCGTTTCGATTGCGAATGGGCATCTACTTCGGAGTGATCTGTTACAATTGTCTTGTCTGTTCGATGAAGCAGCATGAAGCAACAAGTGCACACCGATGGCCAGTGCATATCATTTACCTCGAGCACTTTAGATCGTACCTGAATGGCCGACTATTTTCGCCCTCCCGCTGGATCGCTCCGCTTATAGTTATTACAGCTATTCCAAGTTTGAAGCGACGTTCGCTTTGGTGGAGGGGGTGGTGGCAGTCGTGTTTGCGGGTGGATCATCATCTGTAGTCGAAATTGTTGTTTCTTGCGGCCGCGTGTAACCTGCTAGTTTCATATCTTTCTCATAAACAGACTGCTGTTATCGCAACAGCCAACATCAGCTGCTATCAGTAATGTCTTTCTATTCACGTCTCGTATATCACTTCTCATGTAGTCTGCCTATAGCTTTCGCCCAATTTGTAACAATTTACCCCAATAGCGCTGAACAGCCCACCGTAAGGAAGACGTATTTAAGTCGAACAGTAAACAGCATTGGGTGTGGCTCTTTGATGAAACACTAAGACCAGTGAGCTATGAAGGAAGGTCGAAACAGGTTACACAGCACATCTTTTTTATTCAGGCAAGGACATACCGGATGAGCAGGTGAGCTCACGATTTTCGAATTCTGACTGGCGGCATTAAGATTTAAGGGTATTAAATGAAGCAATACTTCACGCACATTTTGTTTTAGTTACGTACATTCATTGTGCGGTGTTTACGCGGTCTGAAACTCCTCAGTCAAAAGTTAACTTTTGCTCCAATTCGAGGTTACAATATTTAGGGTTTACTACTGTAACGATGGCAATCTCTGATGAGGTCATAATTTGATTTTCTCAGTGAATGTTGTTAGACTAAATATGCCTCAAATTAGGATCGAAATGCTATTAATAAATGCAAGTTCAGTATGTTAATTTGAAATCGCTTATAGTCGTTGAGGAGTTTTGTATGCTTACTTTATCATAGAGGTTCTTGACAGCATGTCCGATTTCAGTTTCAAACATAGTCCAAACTGCCATTGATTTTGTGTTCATGTGACTGATTAGTATCTTATGAACGTAAGGGGCCAAAGGGGGCACTTCTACAACCGAATAATGTAAGGTTACGAATAGATATTGTAACATATTGAAAAGGGCCTAAAATAAATGTTTTGAATTCTATTTTCGGTACTATCGTTAAGACTTAAAATGGCTGACTTTCAGTACGAGGCATGATTCGTGGAACTGGAATGCGTCCGTTTCCAAATCTAAACTACCTCGCATGTATCTAGGTTTCGTGGGCAAAACTTCACTAATGCACCATCACGGGCACGGCGCAGCACAAAAAAATTCGGATCTTTTTCCGGAACAGAAAATATAGTCGGGTAATAACGCATTATACAGCAGCTTATATATATATATATATATATATATATATAGCAGCTTGTAGATCCCGTAAAATGGCAAACAGGTTTTGAAGAGAAAAAGCGAGATATTCCATATTGAATGCGTACACGGTTTGGCTGTGCCTGACTGAGTGGCAGTTCCACATGTAATACTGTGGTAATACGTATTCTCAGTAATTTACATATTCTCTATTTTTCTTTATATGCGCCCTTTTGCTTATAAGCCCGTATTGTGTCACATTAAATTCTTTGCATCAACTGTTTGCATTCCAAGCATTTGACTCCACTGTGAAAATGTGGTGCTTTCGTGGGACTCGTTAATTTAACATTTGCATGAATGTTTGATCAGTATGAGCCAGCCTTAATTCTGCTTAAAGAATACACATTGTATTGTATGTAAAGACATGTTTTTCCTCTATAATAATATGATATATTCCAATATTGAGTTTTCGACTACTGCAGAGTTTGAGGCCTGCAGTTCAGTTAAACCCTTCTTGGATTAGCAGCACATACTAATTCGTTTATATGTAGGTGACATTTCAAGGTGACACAAGCTCTGACTAACGATTTTTACGTAATCTAAACTGTCTTGATGGATAGTTTCGAATCGTAACAGATGTCTACTGTTAATCGATATAGAGGTCGATATAATCAAGGGTGTAAAAGGAAGTTGTATACCTGAGCCTTAACCTCGTTTGTGGCTGTATTACTAAACACTTCTTTCTTCCTCAAAACAACTTAGTACGACAGGTGCTACTCATATCCATAGCTTTTGTGTATGTTTGCTCATTTTGATATAACGTATTTGTTGAATTATGAATTGAAGCCTAGAACAATTGACTACACCAAATCGGGCAGGCGGAAAAAGCATATACTAAGTTAATGTTGAGTGATATAAGAGCTATTAGGAAACAGTGGGTTCTCAAAGCAAGCGAAGGAGGTACTCAAATAAGCTAATTAAAAATTTCGTGGATCTGATTGTTGTTTCTATTAATATCACTCTAATTGGCAAAATCAATTTTAAACAATAGTTTCAAATCTTCAGCCATCTCAAAGCCAGTCTGTATTTCGAAGGCTTTATCTTATTCTTGTGTAAAACGTGTATGTCTAATGAGGCTTATTTGCTTCCACGACGACTCACAAGTCGAAGGAAAGATCATGCACCAAGCGTATACACCTCTGCTTAATTTGTCCTATTTCAAAACAGTTTCGATATCGTTCCCGCGAAATCGAAATATAGAATTTTGAGAATTTATTCAATGTTATTTAGTTGTTCGAAATTCTTTTTATTGGTGATTTTTTGTCTCAACGAAAAAACTGTTCAATAGTATATTCTACATAAAGGCATGCGGTTTATTTATACATTGCCATTTAAGTTGCCTTTATTTGAAAAGGGACTTTCCATGCAGTAATGTTATTATTGCAATATATAGTTCCTCTTCCAAAAGTTCCAACTTTTCGTGCGCTGCAGCTGCAGCCAATGAAGTATACTGTCCTCTTCAAGTGACCATGCAAGTGGACGCATTGCGAACACAGACACGATGCTCAATGCTGATTATCATTATTATTCAGCGTTTACTGTTGCTGTCTCGAATGGTTGAATCTCGTTACTGCTTCCTCTATAACGACTCATGTTGCTGTTGATGTTGAAGTGTCTCTTCGGCAGCTCAACAGCTCAAGAATCAGTCTACCTTCTATATTGCTGTTGCTCCAATAGACGTTCGTTTCTTGGTATAATCTTGTCGAGTCACGCAATGCCGAAGCGACGGCGACCATGGGACGATAGCGGTGTGGACCTGTGGCCCCAGGAATCAAAAAGCGATCGCTTCTAACCCACCGACACTGGTAGAGGTAGTGGAGTAATAGGTAATGAAGGCGCGGCGTCAAGTCATTGGTAGCACGTACATTAGGGTCTTCCTTTCTTTCGTCCTCGCTATCCTTTAGTGACCAGGCGAAGGTTGAAATGTTGGTTAGACCGTCAAACGGGCAACTACCTTTAACGTTTTCCCTACCGGGTCGCGCTCCGTCGCTTGCTCCGTTGTTAGACTCTACCTCCCTCACGGAGTCTTCGCGCCTCGAGCAATGACAGCATTGTGAAGTAGGCAAAGTGTTACACACTATCAAGCAGCGCTCTTTTCCACTCTGTTTAGTGCCGGCTGTCACATAGCATACGGCAGCAGCAGTAGCAAAGGGAAAACAATAACAACCAAAACGGAGGCTGGCAGTCGCTGCTGTTGTTCGCCTTCTACGGAAAACAAGGAAAAGAGCAAAATGATGAGACGAAGTACAGAGAGTGACAGAACAAGAGTAGTCCGTCTCCAATAAGACAGCAACGAGGCTCGAAGCCACAGGCATCCCCAGCAGCAGCTCGAAGCATCCAACAACATAATAATAATGGCTACTCGGCCGTTCAGTAACCGATGTTGTCTCTGCTAAAGCAGATGCTGTCGTGGCTGTTACTGTGGCTGCTGTTCATGACTTTTTTTGCACCCGAGGGGCGCCCGGTGCTATTCTTAGGGACAGTGCGCCGCACAGCAACTAGAGCTTTTCACATAATAGAGACAGAAAATCATACGGCAACAAGAACCAAAACGGTAAAATTGCCAGGCTGAATAATCAGCCTAATTATAACAGCCATTACGAGTCATAACGAGGAATAATCACAGTAAAAAAAAAGTTGTTTATCTCAAATATCAATTGATTTATAGCTCGAAAAACAACGCTATCGTTAATTTCATCTACCGAAACAGCATCTGGAAGTGCCTCAGCAGAGAACTCCTCCAGTTCAAATTTGTCTATTCTGATCAAAGCAAGCATAGCTAATTCTTTTTGAATTCCTCTGTTTTTGATTAAGATTTCTAAGTTATTCGTCGCAAGAGGCAAACCTGTAAGGACTCTCGATAGGTAATATCTTGTACGTGGATCAGTTCGTAGGTTATTGCATGTTAAAAGAATGCGCGTTTTGAATGATAACATTAATTTTAACGGTAACTGTACAGCTGCTGCTCATGTGGTGAAAGGCATTTACAATTACCGTAATTAACTGAATTATTCCATTGTCCCGCTATTGTGTCATGCTGTAAATAATAATAAGCATTTACATTTTGAAATACAGGTAACCTCATTTGATCCGTACAACGAGTGGGCTGATGGGCACTGTCGCTTTGTATATCGCCCGGATTGTGAGGAAGCAAAGCGGCATTCATCAGGATGGGCTATGCGCAACACAAACAATCACAATGTGCACATTTTAAAAAAGAGCTGTCTTGGAGTACTCGTGTGCACTCAACGTTGTGTGTCCGATGCTGGGGACAGTGTTCACCTTAGACCAGCTATCTGTGACAAAGCCCGTAAGAAGCAACAAGGTAAAAAACCATTTTACTCACAGTATTGTTTAAAGCAGTAGAGGAATACATGATAGATAAGTGGACATAGATATCAAGCACCCCCCAATGCATCAAGTCTATTTCAAAGTTAAAATTGGATAAACTTTTGACTTCAAAAAGTCTTGATTGGGATTATTTTGTGCTTGTGGAAAATAACGTATCCTCATATGATAATTATCAAAAGTTAATATATAGAGGCACTTTAGCTGCATGTTTCCGAGAGGATGTTCAGAGTATTAGCATATCTACATACAGCCAACTGCATCAGATTCAGATCTTGATCGACATCTTGGAAGTAAGCGTCGCTGTTTGTCATACTTATTGTTTCAATTAAGTTGCTCAACTGTATTTTTAACGATCATCTATAGGAACACATTAAGATAATTTGGCGCTTAATAATATCGGCCCTACGTGTTCGTGACAACAGAGTTCTTTTTAGGTGTAAAGCGTACCCAATAAGGATTACTGAATAATACCAAGCAAAGATGCGTATATTTTGCCAGATCGATTGTGTTGTAGCATACGTAAGGGCAGTTTTTGTAATGCGTCTTTTTCCTCTCTACTGTTTATTTACTTCTATGCACCATTTGAAAGTGCGTACTCGTTATTCCATAAACCCATTTTACATTCATTGCGCATCGAACGAAATTTTGCATCGAGCTCGAGCCCCAAAGATGGATGTTCTTGGAGAAAAAAAGTGTATTTTTGATATCTTTTTGCATTTTGCGAAAATCTTATAGCTATGGGAACAGCCCGACATATTTTCGCCGTGTACAACAAAATCGCCGCAACCGACAGGATAGCTAAGAGGCATTTGCGAAAATCAAAATGGGACTTGATGTATGTACCCTACTCAGGCCGGTCATCCGAGGTCTATTGAGCGTTTCTATTAACTGGCCGAGAAATACGCAACAAACACCTCTACTGTCTGTGATCTTGAATCTAGAAAAGATTATCAAAAACTGAGCAAAACACAAGAGAAAGTGCGGCTTCTTGTTCTTTAACAGCCTAGCTGATACGTAATGACAGCTAACCTTAATGATAGATTTCTACGCAGATTTGCTCTTGATGTCAAGAAGTGGTGTTTTACGTTGTTACAAGGTAGCAAAAGGACCGGGCAGCTCTAGGAGATGCGCCTAAACCTAAATTTCAGCAAGATTTCTGGATTTTCTGGTAAGACTGGAGGGAGTTCATGCAATGGAAAACGCAGGAAAGGATAGGATTGTAGCGGCAGTAAACAAGAGAAGGTGGTCTTAACCTACGGCAATTCTAGGCCGCATATGGCAAATATCGTTAGAGCTGCCTTGCAAGAGCTTACGTAGGAGGTTATTTTATTCTAATCATATTATCAAGGCCTCATTTTGATGGGTTATCACATTTCCCAATTACTAGCGTGGATCAAATTCGTAACGGTATATTTAGCAGTGAAGAGTCTCAAAGCTGGTTAGAACGAGTTCAACTTCAGGATGGAGAAAGGAAATAGCAAAAGGGAGTAGATAAATTGAATGAAATACTGGAGAAGGTCGTGAAAAATGATGGCGAATGCATAGTAAATTATTAGTAGACTTCTAACTAGTAGAAATTTTACGTCTTTCGAAACCGCCAAGAGCCGTCCATGCTTGTACTACAACTTAACATACAGCAGCCAACGAAATATTACTGTTCAGTTTTCTTCCAACAACGAAATTCTTACCTGAAATTTGATTACATAAGTAATCAATTCAGCATTATGCTTATTGTCACTCTATTCTATTCGTATTGAGGTTGTAATTCAATAAAGCATCGTTCCTTTCAAGTCAGTTTTATTTCGATTGGTGCATTGGGTTAGCATCACGACTGTAACGATATATATATGCCTAGGTGTTATTCAATATCTGATTTGTATTTTACAAGAATATTATGTTTACAAATATGAAAAAGATTAGTTTTTGTATTCTTAGTTTCGAAGCATTCGGTGAAGAAAAAATGAGAAATTCGTCTCAAAGAGTTTTTACTTTTCATAAACATTATTCCACTTATTGCTATAACGCGCTACGAGTAGACACCATAAATATATAGAATGAGCTAATAGATCAATCGAAAACTCAGCATAGTTTTGACAGGTTCACAAATGATTTCAAAAATGTTATCTAATTTTAACTATCAGATTGGTAACCTATATAAGATAGACAATGTGTTCATGATTATAGTAAACTAATTATAATTTTTGAAGTATATGCCTCCGACTGAACGCATATAATAAACTATGTAATATTCTTTTAAACTGTTAACAGAATATGAAGAAACCCTTATAAATGTAGTTCAGATTATAATAGCAAGTTAAAATTTCATATTTAACATCCGGTACGGCCCTTGAGCATTGCTTCAGACGAGTAGCCCCCAGCACGATACGACGTGTGTCTACACCCGGTTTCGAACCTCGATCGCCTCATCTGGTGTTCCTGAGTAAAAAAAAAGTACCTAAATACGCTACTACAACACTATCATGAGGACAAAACCATAACACGAGAATGATTTAATGAACTAAATTCTCATCGAAATATGTAGTCAGTAAGAGTTTATGTAAGCACAATGCGATACTCATTAGCTCCTTCAATCTTGTTTTATCCTTCACTATATTGTATTATATTGACTCATTTAATATATAAAATAATGCTTTTCTTACTTTTGCCAATCTATCTATATTTTATTCTACCTGAAAATCCTTGTTTGTACATTCGATAATATCTAATTTGCTTTTTAATTTATTACACTCAACTTCGTTCCTTTATATTCCATGTCATTATTGGAATTTCACTCATTCCTCGGAATCTAAACATGTTTTCATTTACGCGACTAGCCTTTTTTTCAAAAAGCTATCTCTGTTTTGTTCAGTGGATGGAGGCTTGCATCTTTTGAGTGCGTGAGCCAAGAAATATTTCGCAACTATTTTTACCAGCTCTTCAATGAATTTGAAAATTTTAGTTCTGTGCTAAAATAGTCCGTTATATGTTTCGATCTTTTGAAAATGTTTTTTTTTCAAAAATTAACGCCAAAACGTTCTCATAATCAAAAAATTTTACTGGTTGTATGAACTTGAAATATTTAACAAGCCTCATAATGAAATGTTTTAGACTGTTCAGTGGTTGTCGAGATAATCGTTAAAAACACTACGATACGTTCAACGTTATATAAGGAAAAGCAGTAATTATTTCTGTAGCAGTAATTGTAATGTAATTTAGCGTTACAGTCTGTTCAATCTAGTTTCAGAAATAGAAATGTAGGACTTCAGAAGAGAGATCTATAACCACTTACAAATATTCGACTCAAATAATTTAAGCGAGCAACTTTAGTCCCGAAATCAGTTTTAGAAGCACCGATTATGGACATTACGGGCTTCGGCAAGCTTATGCCGAAAAAGTTAACATAACTTAGAGAAACACATTTATGAATACCATGCTAATTGTGTATGCAAAAAGAAATCACCATGACGTGTGATATGCCTAGTACCATTTAAATAAAGATAGCATTTTCAGAGACATTTTCCGTTTTCTGTTAAATGAAAATCTTATATTACACATCTGATATGATCTACAGAGATCTTGATGTTGATGTTGCGGTCACCTCGGTACGTCCGTCGCCTGCTCTCTGAATGGTAGGTCATAGCGGCAGTGACAACCGAAGCACCTTTGCGGTTGGCTGCGCACCGGTGTTGCCTACAAAAAGGATGCAAATTCTGTTGTAGTCACTGTTGTTAAAGTTGTCCGTACCACGAAGGTGGTATCTCTGCTTTTATTTATCTCACGGCAGAACAGCCTAGAAACATTTACATAAAACTCGCATTATACTTTCACCATTAGACCCTGTAGCCCTCGTAAAGCAGCTTTAAGACCTGAGTCAATTATCGCCTCTACAGACTAACTGGGTAGACGATGAAAGCCGATAACATTCGAAAACAGTAGCCGCATAGTAGTCACTCACTAGTAAAACTTGTAGTTCATCTAGATACAATAAAGCTTAGCTTTTTTTTTTTTAAGGAAACCTCACGCCGAAAACCTTGGTAAAACCTTGGTGTTTATCAGTAATTCTGAGAACATCCAGGGATCTTTGTAGGAGGAGCTTCAGTGTGATTCTCCGCAATCCGGACCATCCAAATTGAGTTTAGATTTTCCACTTGGATTCCAAATAGGAAGATAATTTACTATTTAATGCGGAATAACCAGAGATCCATTATAGTTTAATAATTACATACGTTTATTACCCTACGTTTACGAATGATAAAAAGGGGAATGGCTGAGAGCAAAGCGTAGTTATTCAAAGAATCTTTGAAAAGCGCCAAATCAAATGTGAGCTTTCGAATACAATAAAGAGAAGAAGCCTTCCACTTGTCATTTTGAGCGCTGCTTAGAAGATTAGACAGTTAAAGGAAACATATCTGTACTTAGAAAAAGTATTCGCGCGACGCAATTAGCAGGAAATGTAAGCTATACGTTTTTACCACTCAATGTATGGTACCGCTGAGCCGTAACGAATCTTTGAACATCAATGTTTGATAAAGGCAAAAGCAAAAGCGGCCCTTGTGGATCACAAAGCTACCACTTTATACTTATCGTTTATTCGCTTTTTGTAGGATTGATCAAAGGGAGAACAAGGACTTTCTGTTGTCATTACGGTTAGAGTTCAACAGGTACGGTGCTTGTTCATACACCGTAGACTTGTCTGCGGCGTTACCGAAGTAAAATATTATGCACTAACTGTATGACTACATTCGCACAAAGAGAAGGCCAGTTCAGTTATGCTCCCGCCACTTAGAGCGTTTTTCACCTATCCGATGAATGACCGTCGTCGCAACACGAAGATACGAACATACTGCAGTCATAGCGGGCAGGTAATCCACAACAGGCCGACGTTGTACATGTATTACATGTCCAGACAGATAGCGATTCATGGTAGCGATTTACAATGTGTAACTGAGTTGCTGTAATGTTTTTTATGTGCCATCGCTTGTTTCATCCTTGTTTTTTTTCATGCTAAAAGAATGTATCCTTTTTTAGTAACCAGGTGGGTCGAAATTTAACCGGCGCCTAGCTATCTACATATATATTGATATTTGTTTTTACATTTTTTCGCAAGATGTCTTCGAAATTGATTTATCGACGGGTATGGTATGTATGGAATGTCCGATCGAAACGCTTCGTTACCAAGAGTATAACTTATGTACAGCATTTGTTTTTGTTCTTATACTATAAATTGCATCTAACTAGTAGTTTTCTCTTCTTTACCAATGACACATCGTGATTTCGATTTCGTTCATAAGGTGATTGTTGTTGTATTTAAACATTTAAAGGAAATATGTGTCAATTCAATGTTCGAGGTTATTCCGGACACTTCTTCTTTGTTGATATACATCTAATTAGATAACAGAATTATAATCGTATATGCGACTAAAATGTCAATTATTAGACGTGATTACTTTTCCTGATACGCGGCAAAATTTCATAATGGTTCTCAAACTAGCGAATTTTCATAAACTTGTAAAGATAAGGTAGTTTCTAAGTGTCTGTTGTTTTATAGGCGCAAAAAATAACATGGGTTCAATTTATTAACGATTAGCTGTGCCAGCAAGATTAGAACAAGATGACTAGAACGAAATGATATACTGTAGAACAATATATCATTACGTAATTAGGGATAGAACCCTGCCGAATTTCAATCACGTGACACTGGTACGCTAAGTCTTCGAAGATACGTAGGCTGTACGTTTCAGATCCACTCTACGACACAGCGACCTTGTAAGCGAACTTTCTGAGTTCGTTGCAAAATGGGTACTTCAGAACTTATGATAGCTGCAGAGGAATCATGCTGACCTGAACAGTATGATATTTGAGCGAGCCAAACCATTTATGGATATTTCCAAGATGCCCTACCGCTAAAGCGTGCTTTACACCACATGTTTTTTTGGAGACTAAAGACGAAAGATCTCTTCAGCTACGTTAGTTATTCTTAGCTTCTAGTGATGTCTCATAGATACGCAAAAATTTTCAAAATGTAAATAAATACCAGCCCTTAATCTAATCATAACTGTGGGACATTTTGCCATACTGGATGAGTTTTGAAAACATTTCATATATAAAGCGAAACGTATCAGAATTAGCTAAATGATGTGCCGGATACATTGTACAACATATTGTTGAAGTTGATGCACGAAAATCAACTTCTACTTGTAATCATGATCAAACATTTTTCATGCCTCCTGCCGGACATTCGCTGCCTGCAGACAGCTGAGAATTACGACATCGTTTTGAACCTGTAATATACGATAATCATGGAGGCTACAATATCTTGTGCAATCCATGCGATACGGAATAATAAAAGCTTTATCAAGAAAAACATGAAAATGAATACTATTTTAATTGCGGTCTTCGTCGATTTTAAGGTTTATCGCTCAGTTGTATCAACACTCTGTACCTAGAGTAATGCTGAAAGCCGGACCTCTTAATATCTCGTGTATATTCATAATACAAAGATACCTATACGTATCTACATAAAAAGAACAAGAATTTATTTAATGCGTTTATCAAATCGTGGCAGTATTCTTGTGCTACCCTGGTCTCATCTCGATCCAATCAGTTAAACAATAGCAAAACAGAGTGATCATAAATCCCTATTACCTTGATAGACAATAAAATAAATATTCGCAGCTCACAGTGGTTGAACGTTCTTTAACGAATAAGGACATCACTGCAAGAAGAAAATCCCTAGTCGTTGTTTCTGTATACGTTTAAAATACATTCGTACGGACAAAGGGTACAGATCACGTAAAAATTTAAGCCCTATTTACACTTCATGCTGAAGCCAGCGACGCGCAAATAGACTTCTTCTTCTTCTATAACTAAAGACACGTAGGATTAACAAAAGACATGGTATCTAGGAAAACGCTTATATATATATAAAGATAGGTGACAGTAGTAGCAAAGGCCAATATTCCAATGTTGGATTGTTTAGAATTTAACATAGAATTAACGTCAAATGCGAGTTACGTCGTTAACACGCACCGCAGTGACTCCATGTGAATATTAGGATTTAGTTTAGACAGAATCTTCCGACGCTAGGAATTGTGTAAATGTATTAAACAAGCTGATGTTATACAGCATTTTAATCAGTGAGTTGCAATCGCGATGACACAAATCTTATAAAACATTTTCCTTTCAAATTTTCTTAGGTACTGGGTGTCTAAACCGATTGTATTTGTATTGTATGTTTTGAGTAATAATAAAGTTATTATAACAAGTAGTAGTAATTATAATAAAATACTAAAGGTCTTAGTTTCCGCACGAAATACACAGGGTTTGAAAATACCTACGCCTCTTTCTGCCCTTGAAGTTCAGATTTCCATATCGCCTTTGTTTCCGATTAGTAGTTACCCCCCTAAATCGTATTTTTGCATAATGTTTCAGTCTGAAAATTGTAACCTTTGGGAAAGTTAATTACAAACTGATTTTGCGCGCACTCGATAATATGTTTTTGAGGTGTGCACCAAATAGTAAATTTATTCAAAATCGATTGGGTACTTATTAGAACAAAGCCTGTGTCCGTTGTAAAGCTGTCTGGCAGATGTCTAGCGGACAAAGATCGATTAAAAGTAAAGAAGCTGACGAGCTCCTAACGATCACAATATTCGAAAATATTTTTAGTATTTATAACATAGATCTAACAGACTCCATTATCCTTCCGAGCTTCGCAAGTGCATATAGCAAATTAAAGGAATGTTTGTTTGCTTATTAATGTGCATTTTCTACATGGTCGTTATATACCACTCTATCAAAGCGGCAGAGAATTGAATACTCCGTAACATGCGCATTAACTGTTAGCTGGCATAAGATTTAATGTAAAGTCGCAACAGCCAAAAAGATAGAACCGTTAAAATAACTTTGAATTAATGGGATAGTGTTTCAAAAAGGTAGTTTAGCAGACCAGAAATGTCTGCTCTAACAAGAGAAGAATGCGCGTAAAGGACGGGTACGGGCTGTAGAGCAGTTTACTTGTTATTAATAATTTCTTAAATTTTAAATGTAAAATAGCCCATATATGTATAAGGCGAAAGGATAGGTAATGCCTTAATTTCGTTTTTAAAGAAGCAATTTTTACTTGGAAATGGCTGTCTGTAAAATTCAATAAGCATATTCGCAAAACTATCATTAATTTAAAGACGATGTCTACGTATGCGTATATGGTCTTTCAACTATACCGTCGCACATATCGGCTTTTAGGAAAACCGTGCCCGAATCGCCGCTGCGCAGGACGTCTGGAAGTGCTTCCATGTCGTGGCCATTGTGGTTATCCTGTGACCCATTTCTGGCGTCATACAGAGCATGCAATCTTTTTCCAGGTATGAGCTTCTAGCCTTTATTGCCTTAGTGACTAAAAACAATGCCGAGGGATCACCTAGCTCCTGTTTACTGCTTACTGTAACTTGTGGCAAAGATATTATAACTTAGGCTTAATTGGTTTGAGGACTGCTTTTGCCATACGGTGGTTTCTTCCTAACTCATAAGGTATTCACAGAGTAAAAATATGTTTCATAAATTTTCAAAACTCAAAACTTTGCACGGTCAGCGACCTTTTAGACCTAGAGCCATTAGGTTACCTCCTCTCAACTCAAAACGTTTTGGGTTGGAGAGTTTAATAAACATAATTGAGAAATCTATTGGGTCTACAAATGTCAAGTTCTCCATAATATAATTGTTTGCATTTCTCTTTACTCTCACAGGCAAAAGGACTGCACGACCATCCACAGCCTGAGCCGAAAGCAACAGCCGAGGCTCGTCGTTCTCTCCGTGTAGCGAAACGTGGCTACTCCGCGGCAGCTTTGGAAAGCTCTCGTTTTGCCGGTGGTCCTACTCCGTACTTAGCCGCTGGTGCAAGTACGTTTAAGGATCATCACCTGTCTGAAAGTTTTCAGGTTTGTCAAAGCCATTCTCGCTTCATTGCGATTCTTGTCTATTGTTTTAGAGCATGCAACACACTCATAATTTGTGTTTGTCTTCAGCTTACTACTGCATGTATAGCACGATAGTGTATTGCATATCCCATGCTGTCACAACGCCGTCTGTGCTTGCAGACCGCATTTTTCCAATCGGGTAGTATAATAGCTGTTCGGCAGCATGCTCCGCCTCTTTCGATAGGGTGGAGCTTTGTGACATGCCGCTTTAAGCGAGGAACTCTAGGAAAGTTGCTTTTGCTGCTGCCACGATATGACTGGTTTGTTCTGTCTGCAGTGGCCCCAGATCTTTCCTAAATTTCTGCGCTTCGGTTTCTCGATACACTGACTGCCTAGATACTTCATGCATTACGGCGGACACTATCCTTCCTAAATATGATTAACTTGTTTCTTATTTTCAAAACAACACTGGAACATGTATGCTATGTGACGCACCCTGTATTAAATTCAATAAAGCTTCACAATTATGTGAGCTATTAGAGTAGATAACATGTCATTTCCAAAACAATGAGTAAATCTGAACGATTGAGTTTTGCAGTAGAGTGCGATACAGGGAACCTCGTTGGCTAGCTTTTGCTCTACCATACCAGCCTTATGTCATGCAACCTGTCCAAAAATAAAGAAAGAAAAAATTATATTCCCCCTTATGGTCTCTGTTAGATTATCTTCGACCGGTAAAGTTTTTTGGTTAGCCAATATGATCCTCTGGCCCTTTGCCCTAGTCCGAGTCGTAGCCAGACAGTAGCAGCGTGTGCGATAAATACTCCGTTAAAGTGAAACACTGCTAAAGTGAAGTAAATGGCATACCGCACTGTCAAACAAAGCAAGAACGATGGAGAGAAAGGAGCGAAAACGACAAATGATAGATAGATGGACAAGCGGTAGACATAGCGTCAATTGTTTGGCCCGCGAATAATGGTCTTAACATCAGGGTGAGTGGACGATTGGATGAACAGGCGAGCGACCAAGTGATGCATGCACGAGGTGACTATGTTCATGTCTATCTGCATGCCTGCCTACGAGTGTGCATGTCTGCGTTTGCTTAACAGCGTAGCTTGTAAAGCTATCACGCAAGAACTCGATCTGCGATCGCCTCCTACTTTCTTACAGAGTTAGTTGACTGACTGTATTATGCAGAGGCAGTTGCTAATCGGTTCAAGTGTGCTAGGTGCCCCATTATATGCCATATGTAGTAAACAGCAGCCGATGTGACAGTGCTACTATAGGTTAACGAAAATTATGCATCGGCCGATTTTTATGGCAAAAATTTGCAGCAGCATAAACATACGGACACATCTGTCAACCAAATGCAGCTGATCGCAGTCGTACTTTACTGTTAAATACATTTCAGTAGTGTTCGACCTATTACCTCAGTTCACGTGGCTTGCCGGCAAATTATTTAATAGTTTTGTTGACACGGAAAACAAGGCCCTTCTTACTTAATGTTATAACCTTTTGTACAAATCAGTAATCTGAATCCATCCTTATGTTTGTTAAATATTTTAAAAACAGAAAATTAAAAAAAAACAGGATCTTAATATACTTCTAAAAAAAGAAGACGAGAAGCTGGAACTCAGTAATCAAAGTTTCGACATCTGATTCCGAATGTGCTTTAAGGATTTGCTTGTGAATAACTATACAGTATCCTTCAACTGATACATCGAAACCGTTACAATCCACTACAGATAATGCGTGTCGGAATTAGGAATAACGGAAAGTGTGCAATTTAGCATAATAGATTTAGCTGATTTTGGATAGAAGGTGCTTGGTACATCTTATTCTGGCTCAAATTCGCAGGGCGATAAACGCTTTGCTGCTATTGATTGATAAGCTTATGTATGGCCTTACTTACATAACGTTTTACACTGAATTACCCTTGTCAGTTGTAAGACGACTGCTTGAAGGTTCTGTGCAGTGCCAGCGTAACAGAGCTTCATGCCGTAGGTTTTGCATGTTCTAATTTGGTGATTCCAATAAGGTAACCCATGGAAGCTGATGTTGTGCGTACTCTGAGAGTTTCTCTTATATATTAGTTACTTCGAACATCTTGCAGCACCTAATATAAGCTGTGGTAGTTCATTTGTCTAAGTAAATAAGCTAATGGCACATCTTTGAGTACTTTGATCGTGGAAGCAGCTGTAGCAGCCATGCTTCGTAAACACCTTCAACACTTTTTTGACAGATTTTCGAGAAAGACATCAACTCGTGGAGCTTATTTTCTTGATGCAAAGCGCGATCTTCCATAGAGGTTAGCTTGTGTACTAAAACAAAGGTAAACGTATATATACACATCATATATTGGACTACGAACGAAAAGAAAATGTGATGAAAAGTGCAAAAGTGAAGAAAATATTTTTTTAATAACGCAAAATGGGTATATATCTGTTCCTCGGAGATCTGAGTTTCTGCTTACAGTTTCTGCTACAAATCAGTTGGCGACATTATCATACGTTGAGCTATCCATTTTATTCACGTGCTTACTCCGTATAAGGGTGATCGAAGTGAAACTAATCTTGATTGGACGCCGTTAGACGCTCATTGTTAGGGTTGTTGGTATTGCTGCAGCTTCACTAGTCACATCCCTGCATTCTTGGACCTAAAGGTCATCTTCTCCTGCTATACATTCAAACCTAAGATTGTTGAAAGTCATTGGTGCCTCTTTTGGCCTCTGTCAGAACAACTATGCATATTCGATGAGTCCTCATTATCGCACTAGTTCCTGCCAACGTCGCTGTTTTTTTTCATCTGGCCATAGGAATTGTTAGATTGCTTCTGTGGCCACACCTTGAGAATAAGAGTATCTGGTAGATAAGAAATACGCATGCATTTTTTGTGTGCTTGATGTATATATTACGTAAGATACGTACATATCGTCCAACATTTATTATAATACAAGACAATGGGCCTAGGATCACATGAAGCGAGCAGATGTCCTCAAGAGATATTCTGGTTAAGATCTGGGTTAAATCTTTACGCCTTTATGAAGGAAAAACAGATATACTTCGTCAATCTCGTTTTTGGGTAACGCCAGTTGAGCGTCGACTAAATAAAGTCTAACTCTACGTCATACTTCTATATCCATCGTGACCATATGGTATATAAGTAAGCCTCACTGCGTAATAACAAAAAGAACCTGCTGTTTAGCCTAAGGACGTTGAAAATGACAAGGGTTGAGTATAGACGATAGATGAGCCTAGCAAGGCTTGAAATGGCTTCATTTTGTAACCTTTAAATAATTATGCAGGCCGTTTCATAGATGGAGACTTTACCCTTTTGCTTGGAAGGAAACAGATCTACGAAATTCAAACAGCACATCCTCCACATCAAACATAAGATATAATGTATCATAAGAAAGAACAGAATTTTTTTCGTTAAATTTGAATGCCATATCAACTGTGATAACGCGTTTCGTGTCAATTGGATAAGTGTTACACTGATGGCCTCGTGTAATCTCAAAAAGACATAAGTTAGCGGTATAGTACGCAGGGATTGGGTTATCACTGATCAGAGCTATGATTTAGTGACCCAGTCTGTCCGGGTTCAGGGTTCAAGCAGGTCGATGAACAGTTCGCCATAGCGAAACAAGCTCACAAAGAACGGAGGCGGCACTAACTGGCGCTAGATGCAAATCAGAGGCCAAATGTGAACTGCTGAGCGGTGGATCCTGTAGCTCACGTTTATTTATTAGCCACGGATTTAGTTGTATTTGTGGCCCCTTTGAACAAGATATTGAACATGGTGTTGCGTTAATCTGCTATTTACCTAACAGCATAATAGAGGTAACATCGTAGGTTTGAATGGCACTCTACGTTGCTCAACCTTAATAAGTTGTATATCATCCTTATTTAAAACTCACTATATCACAGATGGTGTTCCGTACCCCAAATATACTGTATATAACAACATTGAGGAACTAAATGTGATCAAGGTAAGATAGTTGATAAAGTAGAAGTATGCGCATCGACGTAGTTCAGTGCATTGTGTTGTTGTAATAATTTTTATTTACTGGAGACAAATTCTAGTTAAACTACTCTATGCGCTCCTTCCAGACTAGCTAACTTCCTCTTAGTTTCGGATATTAAATCATCCAGCAGGCGCTCACCTCCTACTGAGTCTTTCTTCCTGAACAATGGCATCAGCGGCCCCTTACCTATCGCTAATGCTATATTCTAACACATTCTAGTTTAGAGTTTTACACGATCGTTGTCTAGCTAACTAAAAGCTTCTATTTTGTATTCTTGTGATGAATCTTTGTAAGATCTCAGCTTAGTCCTCGCCAAATAATTGATTAGATTGTTCTTCAGTCAAAGAGAAAACGTTGCAGGAGGGAGTAAGTTAGCTTGAAATATCTTTGGAGCTGCAGTATAATATATAATATGCAGGTTATCAGTATACACCTAGCGTTTCGATCAAAATACATATATACCGTAGTAGTAGAACGAAAAGTGAGGTGTGTCTGAAACATGTATACGATTGTATTAATGATCCCGTTGTGTGGTATATGTTGTGATTACTATTGTAACTTAACAATAAACGCAACGTTCACTCAAGACACTGCACAACTTCTTCCTTACAAACTGATTTCATGGGCCCATACTGCAATTTTTTTATAATCAGCTTGTCTTATGTAGTGCGATAATAAAGTTGACTCTGAATTGAATTATACTATGGTGTTGCCTAATTTTACAGATGCTACAAAGCCTAGAATTTAAACGGTAAATCCTGTGTAAATTTGCTGCGCTACTTCCATTGGGCGACGTAATGTAATCGAACGCAAAAAAATATACCCGGTATATAATCTACCAAAATCGGAAGCCAGCTGTCGTTACTTCTGTTAGACCATATCTTACGCAACATTAGCCACGCGATCTAGACGAGTCTAGACGGTCTTCTCACGCAACTTGAGTTATTTATAAGATCCATGAGGGTCCTTTCACCATGAGGTTTGTTTCTCCGAAGCAGTTAACTTGTCTTCGCTTGAATCGACGAATTTCTTCCACTGTCCGCAGAACATCTTGTCGCTTTCTAAGTCGCTACTGTAGGTAATTTTTGAGAGATAATAGCTCAAATTGATGAAAACGACATTTTATTCAAATTGATGCAAACATGATAGATGCGTCGAATCCTCATGTCAAAGGTATCGCAAGGTCGTAGCTGATTTATGACTTCGTCTCAAAGTGTTGCATATCTAAAAAGGCAGCATTAACTTAAGCAGCGTCCCTCGCCTAAACAATGCCTATAATATGTCGAGTATTACCGGGTTAATTACCCTTTTATTATTGCTCCGAGTTGAGGACACACGTGATAAATCATACTTGAAGAAGTACGATCAAATTAAAAACTCTTCACGACCTTCATACAAACTCGGGTTCACTCCGATAAAGGTTTTTCCGTCCTTACATAAAGCGGTCTTTATTTATTTATATCAGTTTGCGTTTTATTATATATGAATTAAACAAACTGATTAAAAACCACTGGAGAAATGATCAGGATGTGTCCTGGAAGCGATTTACATAATAATAATGGTACTACTAAAACTTTTTTGCTATAAAGGCGCACCCTAGAATTCGCTTGAAGCTCTTCACAGCTTTTTTGACCTTGATTCATAAACTACAGTTTCCAAAAGCATAGATAATTTGTTTTTCATTCTACCTCTTTATTGAATGTTTCGAATGCTATTACAACCCTCAAACATTTGCCTCAATAAATACGTAGACGCACATCAGGCGAGTGTATTTTGTTGAAAACACCTGTTTGCCATGAGCTTGAAACTGGCTCACAGTAAAGCAGTAGGGACTGCCCTGACTCAGCTATTCAAAAACGTGGAGAGCAGCGGAGATTAAAATTATCCTTCTGTGAGATTAGCAGGACCAAATATTTGCGACATATACAAACAGACTCATAGGAACGGCTAAGGTATCGCAATAAGGTCGGCAGCGAAAGAGCTGACTCGCACAAACATGTGAACATGTCCACATATAAAGGTATTACTTGGACCAACTTGTGAAGCACTGTATTGCAGGAGGTATGAACATTTTGAGAAATTCAACATTAATCATTTTCCAACTTCACTCGTCTACAATCGAATCTGACGATCCAGTAGGTAGGGATAATTCAATATTAAAATCAATAATAGTGTGTCAAGCTTATAAATGCCACAGCCGTGTGACTGCAGGCAGAGCATTATCAACGCAAAGCATTCTAATATATTTCGAGTTTTACCATCGCAGTTATCGTTTTTTCGTACCAGTGGCCTCTAACTGCAATGTTCTATGGCCAAACACATACCACTTCCGACTAGAGAACTAAGCAGGCTTCAGACATGTTACGAGCAATTCGTTACGAGGATCACACGGTACTATAGGAACTGCCTTCAGAATGCGAAACTGAAGTCCGACGTAAAACGCGAAATGGAACTGGTAAAAGAGGCTGTCTAATAACCTCACATATTGTTTCGAAACTCGCAATATCCTGGGTTCGAATCAAGAGATGTCAACCGAAGTGCCACACTGCCACTTATATTAGTTGGCTGAGAATTTCCGAAATATCACAGTCCTGTGAAATGATTTGACACTGCCAGAAGTTGCTAACGGCATCCTCGGGCTCCCAAACCAAAAAGCGTGCAGGTCCGACTGAATATTTGAAACGAGCATGTCAGGAGAGTCGTGGCCTTCACATTCTGCTGCACAAATCGGTTCAATGCATGCGTGGAGGCAGTAGAAATCCTAGGAAGTTGCAAAGAAAGCAGGTCCGAAATACAAGTTATTCGAAGTCTTAAAAAGGAATTGCAAAAAAAAAACTGTATATAGGCTCCTTTAAAGCATATTAGTAGTACACCCAACCTCCTTCCTGGATTATCTTAATAGGCTGCTAAACACATATGTGATTTGCACCTATAGATCAACGGGACATTGTGATAATGGAGGATGGAATCATCAAAAAGACAAAATAGAGCACACAATTAGATTTGCCTAAGGGGAGAACCTAATTTTCCCTGTTTGTCTTCCTTTTGGCTAGTTAACTACTCCCGTCTATCGTGTATGAACTTTGACCGTAATGCTGGTATGCCGACAGTATTGTAATGAAGAGTATGTTTCATCTGTGGTATGTGCTAGTAACAACTAAGTCGCAAACGTTGGATCCCAGATTAATAAGGGCAGGTTAAAGGGCGGGAAGACTTTGTGGGAGTGACTCGTTTGGTTTTTCAAATTTCAAAAAAGTTAACTCCTTTAGGAATATCGGATTAACCAAAACAACGACATGCAACTCTTGCGTTATGCAACGATTACTGCAGCTACGATTCAACAACCACAGAAACTGTTACTCGTCCACACGGGGCTTAATTTTTCGCTTTAAAAATTGCGCTAACAGCCATTTATGAAATTCAGATCATCTAGGTAAGCCCGAAATCTAACGAGCTTTGGTAAAACCAAACCAGCATTCCTAAAATGATGCACGATAACACAGAACAAGCTAGCATACCTGCAGTTCGACTCATCATCGTTTCATAGTTTCTAAGCCTATGAATATTATAGTTTAGAGGTCATACAAATGAAAGATCATTATTGATCCCGTAACATATATATAGCCTTTTGTATTTTTATAAAAGTCCCTTAAAGATGAATAAACGTTATTTTATTAACCTTCCTTAAATCTTATCGCACATTCAGTGGCAGCCAAAGAGCAATTACTAATTATGTCAAGCAGCGAAATCAGATCAACGAACCAGTTCATAGACCCAAACACATAGCCTCGCGTGTTTTACGTTTTTTACTAATTTAAAAATTGGAGTTAATTTTGGATTTATCTTGGAATATGTATATTTTGACAAATGTCGCATTATTTTCTATAAAACTCTGTATAACTATATGGAAACCATGAGAAGAGTATGAGTAAATAAAAGTTTTAAATGTGGCCATATTACACAAAGACGAGCAAGTTTAGCAGTGTTAATGCTCAGAACGCCTAAACGGACCTTTGTTGTTGTAACTTCGTCCATGTCGGGAGTTACTGCACCAAACTGAATGCTTATATGCGAGTGAATGCTTGGGCTAGCCTTTAGTTATGTTCGACTTTCTAATCATTTGATGAAAATTGAAACTTCAACCTTCTCGTTTGAGTATTTGAATGTAACTCAAGCTGACTCACTCGTTTTGCTTATAATAGGGTATTTAACCCTAAAGTTGCTCTTCCTTTTTTATTGCCGTTATAAGTATTTTTGTCTTCTACTACTGCCTTTGAGAAAGCGGTATCTTTTTAGTTAGTAGGAAGCAACCCTCGTCGTTGCTTCTCAATACAGTCGGCCCTAGCTATACATGCACGCCTAAAGGCTGGTTATCCTTCCTGCTCGACATATTAATAAACAACGGACATTGATCATTTCGGAATATGAGTAGAAGCATCATAATTAGAATAGGAACGTTTTGATTATTTTAGTTGACTGCCTTTGCTTTCATTAGCTTTGCAGCTGTTGTAACATCTAACTGCCACTTGAATGTATTTAACATTAGAGTACCATAAACACTGGTGCTGGAACTAAACGCTATACGCACGTCTTAAACTTATTCGTAAGTTGAATGTCCTTGTGTGTCTAATCAGACGTTTCATTAGTGAATTTGTCACTGTACATTTAGGCATTTCAGCTGTATGGTAAGATAATGCAGGCGTAAAGTCACCTGTTTGGTATAACGGATTACCGCGAAAGTGCCCGCGTCGCTGAAGAACCATGCCTTCACAATCATAAAACCTTTTTCTTCAGTTTTTTTTTTTTGGCATTGCTGTAGTACGAGTCTACTATAATATCGCTTACTTTAAACTTGCTAGCACTTGAAACTAATCATCATTTTATACTTGTTTCTATTTATGGCGAAATTTTTGATTGACTATCTAAGTCAGATTCATCCGCGTTATTACAAGGACAGGTGTCATTGCACCGCTGCTAGCATTGTCTCTGGATACCTTTTTTTTTTCTATTAGTCTGTTTAATCCGAATCACAAACTATATAGTCAGAAAAACCCATCATACCATACAATAACTAAGGTATGATCACCTATTATTGTGGTTAGAACTAATCTTTAATAGATTTGTGCTTTCTTCTTGAGAGAAATAAACTTACATTGAGTGATATCGCTCTAATTTGGTGTTGTTGTGCCTAGCAACGTTCAAATCGGCTGTGTATATTTTACTTTAGCCTCTAGATTCAGAGTTCGTTTCCTTGTTCGCCCTGATCAAACGCATCTGTTCGGCGGGTGAAATCAAAGAAATGGGAATCCACGCACAGGTGGCTTACCTCCCAGGAGTGTGTACCTTTCATCCCCCAATTGGTTCTGGGAAATGGACGAATACAAACCTGTTCAATGTGGGCTAGCCTACCGACCAAAGATCCAATTTCACGTGTGGTCTACCTTATACGATTTATGTGCAAAGGGCATTCTTAATATCAGAAAGTGGGTGAATGCCTGCCTGAGTGTCTTTCAATTAAAAATAAACAGTAGTATCGAACCTATTATAACCCTAATAAATATTGTATTCGAAACTGTATAAGCTAAACAAGCAACGAATGTATATAAATTAATACATGCTGTATTATATAGCGGGTTTCGCAGCATACTGATGACATGCTGGTTCAGTTTTAATTCATGTCACGTGATGTGTGATGTTTACCAAAATTAGCTGCGCGATCACTTTTACGCTTGCCACCCATGAAGAGATTTACTCTATATAATCTGCTCATAGTATCAAAAAATGCAATGCAATATAGATAATCAATGCGACAATTTCTACTTTGCTACTATACGTAACGCTCTGGTGTTTTGTACTGAAAACTTACTGTTTGGTAAGTAGTTAATGAGTTTATCTTTGTTTCGTGTACAGCAGCACGCGCCTGCAGTTCTGTCGAATGGATCCGCGGCTACGTGGACGTCAGAGGTGGACTACGAATATTATGTGAAGGTGTCTCGAGTCGAGAGACTTTCAATGCTTCCACCACCATCTGCTGGTCCCCCAGCTCCATCGGCACCGGCTCTACCTTTGCCATCTCAACTGCCATTAGGCACGCAGTGCTCGTGCCCACCGTTTGAGTGCGTATGTCCCCCTGGAATCAAGCGGCGCTATCCTGGGCAAAATCCATTCGCCCGGCCAACTACACACTCCGGTCATCCTGCCCTTCCCACGGCCGCCAGGCCAACAGCACCAACCGGAAGCCCTTACACCGATTACACCGGAGTCCCTCTGCACCACCATCATCACCATTCATCAATCGATTTATACCAACCATCTTTAATGGCAGGCGAGAAAGCCGTTCAGGAATGGACAGCTTCAGGTTCCACCGGCGGAGAATCTAATGATCGATCTAGCGAAGATAGTGATAAGCACCCTCAGCATTTCCAATCCTATCAACATCAGCTGACCTCTGGAGCGGCACAGAGGCAAGAGGCATTTAAGCTTACATATCGGTGGGTATACTAATACCCGGATAGGTCATAACCTAGAACTACTGGTAGTGTAGCATCTCGTATAATTTGAAATACTGCTGTTTTTCAAAGATCCATATACATTTTCTTTTCTTAAACAAATTTTATAGTATATATATAGTATATAGTATAGTTTACAAAGTAGTTAATACACGGTTTTTAGATACCTGCAGAACTTCGGATAATATTGTTCTTTGGTTACCAAGTAGTCAACAAGCATTATCACAGACTACAATGTAAACTGATATACTACTTCCTTAATGCACAAATCAAGTATTGAACGATCAATCGCTCAAAACACTATTTTGTCAATATAGTTTTTCATCATGTTGTCATCGACATGTTGATGGAATATTTGTTCAAACCTTGTTATGAATTCCAGGACAAGCCATTCCTTGCCAGTTCAGCATGGAGATCTCCGTCAATCCGTTCCTACGCTTCATTCCGCCTACCCTGGCTGTTCATCATACCCTGTAAATTCGTCTCAGGTTTCCATAAAGCACACTGACTCTGGTCTTATCAATCCCCAACCTAGTGACTGTTTCATTACTTCGCTCGATAATCATAACAATGAGCACAGTCAAAGGTTCTTCTCTGCCGTTGACAACGCTGTTCAGGTATGTATATAGAAACTCATTAGAAGAATTAGAACAAGTAATTACAGTAGATGACTTCATGCAAGGTATTACAAAAAAAAGGGACAAAACTTTGTATCTGTTGTGCTATATGCTTGCCATTCTGTCTTATGTCATAGGATGACCCAAACTCGCAGACATCTTCACAGTTTATGAATCAATCATGGCCGTCAGATTATCGGCTGAATTCTGGCGAATATCACCACTCATATTATCATCAGGAACGAACAGGAGGATACCATCCGAGCTATGATATGACCCATCACCATCATCACCATCATTCGCATCACCCTGCCAGGGTTCATCCTACGACTGGAAACTCTCAAACTCACCACTTACAGGCAACTGTGGGTACCGGCAGCGGAGGAGGACACTTGCAACCACCTGTTCCACAAGGGCTTATGGCACCGCCCCTTAGCGAAGTTCCTACGCTTGCCATGCTCTAGAAGGAGCGTACCGGGCGTTCCAAAAATGAATCCGATCTGCGCTCCAATATTTTGAACAATCTGACAAGTGTTTCGAGAGTCGAAGCACGATTTCTATTGAAAGTGGTTCAAACATCCCATTCCGTCCTATAGCATGTTCGGATCATGTATTTCGTAACCGCTGATTATTAGTTTAAATTTCGATTTCGCAAATAGAGGGACTGATGGCGTAACTCGAAGATGACCCCGATGTTTGACCTGGTTGGCTGGTGGTTCAACTAAGATACAATTGGATAGTTGAGATCGTCAATCTTAGACCACCCAGTACGTTATCATAAGGAGCGTGTATTAATAATGTATAGCTTGCAGTCTGCATGATAGTCCTACGCCACAATAAAAATAAGTTACTACCCTTATAAGTACCCAATAGTGAATAAATAAATCTGAATGCCTAATACAAACAAACTAACGGTCTAATCTTTGATGATACAATATAAAGTAGTTCCGGTTGGCATGCGCATTTTGAACGGACAACCTTAACGTGATTAACATTAAATCTTAAAAACTGATCGTTATATATAAACAAGGAATTTCTGAAATCTGCTTTTGGACTCATAGATCTTTACTTAAATAACTCTAGCCGTTTATCATGGATAAATTTAGGTATTTGCAAATATCCAAAGATTATCGTCATTTATCTGCACTTGAATATTTGTCATATGTTATTAGCATGTACGCTTCTAGTATTTTCTAAGATTAGCCGTAACGGTACTTACCGTGAAATCTAGCACGCGCAAACAGAATATGTCTCTATCCGATAGAAAACTCCAAAACTAATGTAATTGATTGAAATTAATATCAATCCGTAGGTAAATTGGACTTACGTAAGAGCAACCTCTAACAAATGAGGTAAAATTTATGTGAGTGTACATTTTCATTGCGCATTAGAATAGAAAAGCGTAATGGGCTTGTGTGGCATTGGGCGCCTAGGTTGTAGTAGGAAATAGTAATTTTGATGAAATAATTTTTTCAATCTAGTCGTGTTTGGGATCGCTCTAATTCTCTTTGACATTGATACCTTCGCGTTACTTAACGGGAGTTACTACCTCATCAAAGTTTTTAATAGACATTGGAGTGCGGGAAGTAAAGTTTATGCCCCAGCGTGTCTTTGTGAAGTCCTGCTGTGAGGTAAATTACCATTTCTATGTTCATCTTCTCATCCGCATCAATGAATTTGATTTTACCTTAACGAACAGTCGAGTGGGCGAAGGGATCTAGAAAAAAAAAAAATAAAAAAACGAAAAACAGAACCGAACCACAATTTTGAATCAGACGAAACAAGCGCGTTACAATTTACACTGTTTTGATTAAACTATTTAGTTCTAAATATTCACTAAGAATTGACGCTACTTTGCAGACAAGTTAAAGTAAGTAAACAGATTGCATCGATGACTTGTATAACTCGCACTATCTTGAAATTTACAATAGACAAAGATAATTTCTATAATTATTTTAATGCTAAACTGAAAGACAATGACAAATTGCCGCCACAGTAATACATCCGCAAAAAGTAACTCCTTAGTACTTCATTTCGTACAGGCTAGCATCAAGTCAACCATATTTTAAAGATATATATATAATAATAAATAATAAATATATATATAAAAATTAATCCTCATTATTTTAAAACCAAATTTTAATCAGTAAAATCGATGTGTTACTTCAAATGTATTTTTAGAAGAATAAATTTTGCTATCAGCTTTGCTCATTTTGAATATCTGCGAGCCAATTTGAATTAATATATATTTTTTTTAGATGACACGCAGATTTTAACGTAGGCCTGGGTGACAGGCTGTGAATTGGTTACCAAAGACTATAAGTGTAGCATGCAACAATATCTAGATACATACCTTCAGCCAAAATTATTTTTTTGCGTAAAAAATGGGCCTGGAAGCGAATTGCATTATGAAAGCTGTTAACATTATCATTATATAACATAATAGAATTTTATTACCTAGCCTTTATCAAAATCATTGTATAGCTTTTATTGATGCAATTGTAAAGCCATCCACACGTATTCACGTTCTGAAACTACGCGGTTTTGATTAGCAATGATAACTGAACGTAGGTCCTGTGATATCAAATGTCAACACAGAAGTCACTGCAAATTGACCATCCTTATGATACGACGCATATAGATCTCTGTTATGCAGTACAACTAACTGTTCATATACTAGAGTAATCATAAACAAGCTGTGGAATATATTATAGTGAGCGAAAATGAATTTACTGATTCTGCAAACGCGTAATTAAATACAAGTTTTGGGTAGTAGTTAGCACAAATTGCGTCGCAATGCTATATTCACTTATTTTTGCACCTTCATTTTTTTAGCATGTTAATAATAAATAATGTATTTCACTTTAGGCTTTCAGTATTATAAAAAGGTCACTTTGCGTCATATTTATTATTCTATTAAATTACTATGTTTGATCGGGTGTACAACATTTAAGCGCCTTGAAATAAAGACAAATAATGAGAAACTATGTTGAGTAAATTTTTATTTGGCCTAAACATACCAGCAGTTTCTTATTAGTCCGTAAGAGTCTACCGCCATTTTTTATTGTTTACAATTAACTTACTATTTATCAACTAAGAGGGTCACAAGCTTAGCCAAATACTTAATTATTCTTCTATCTGAATTTTTAATAGTAGTTTGATGTTGCCTTACATTAACAACAATTCAACTATGAACGCCTGGAAAAGTATTGGTGACAGACAAGCATATGTGTGTATGACAGGTATAAGTATAATGAACGTCCGAACTGATGTATTTAAACCCTACCTTAGTATTTTAAATTAACTTGAAAATTGTTCTTGAAATATCCCAAGAAATATGTGTAGGGTTTTGAAAATGGGATCGGGTGTCTCGAATAGTAAAAGGCCGAATCAAAATAATTGTTTTTGAAATTTCGACACACAATTCTATTATCGTAAGCAATTCCTTGAGTCATTCTAAAAATTATGTAAAAGAAGATATTAGTTTAGTCTTAAAACTTTTCTATGTCAATATAACCTAATTATATAAGCAATGTTCTTCCCAAAATTTGCTAGTTCATTATAAAGAATAATTCCGGTTACAACTATCAAGTAACGCCTAAATCTATTACTACGAAGTGTGAGGGTCCACTTTCTGCGCCCATAAAGCAGCGATATTGCAAAGGTTAGAACAGAAATAATTCGCCAAGTGAATCGTTCATCTAATGCCGAAAAAAAAATTACGAAAGTAGCTGATTCCACACTTGTTTGGAAAGCACAACTGCTAGAGCTCAAATTCATCTATTTGGTTATGCTGTAAAAACTTAAAAGCTTCGCTAGACAATTGTAGAAAATCGCTGTCTTCTGTTATGTTAAGGGCCTTCTGTTAGATAATTTTTTATAGCCATTATGATTAATATTATTAAAAAAGTGATTTTTGTCGTTCTTAATAACCTTATAAGTCGGACAATTAATACATTTGTCGCACAGATATAGGTTTTTTTTTCAAGCTAAAGATTATGTGAAGCTTAAAGAAATACTATTGTTTTAAGAAATGACAAGACAAGCTATTTTCTTAAATTAAATTTTACTTCCCTCCAAAGACCCCATTATACTAAGGACACTTTCAGGAATCACTAGCTGTGCACGTCTCAATTGATTCATGTGTAAAGCTAAGTTGTGTTCAAAGCCCCGCCATGACTGACATTAGACGTTGCTAGGGTGTCAGTGACAATATATATCTGAAGTTTAGATTTTAGCCAGGCTGGATTCTTGAAGCTCACATTAAAGATTTAACAATTATCCGGTGCCTAGGGTCCTACGTAACTCTTTTCTGAAGTTATGTCCTTGTACATCAACTTCAATGGCCTTTCAACAGAGCTATAAACCTTGCGTTTCTTTGAAATCAGAGATTACAACATTTAAACTGCAATGGCATGATATACAGCGGGTTCCCTACAAGCTGAATAAAACTTACACTTGATCTCCTTTAAGTATGTACAGCCTTTCAGCGTTAGCGCTTTAAAACGCTGATTGAATCAGTCGTATGTACAACGACTCTACAAAACGATAGGTTGACTTTCGAGGAAATTGGTCGCATGTACATTGCATAAGTATCTAATACACTTAGCTAGGGTAAAACAACTCAAATAACAAAGCTAAACGTACTTCACATATAAACTGTACATTCATTCTTTCTAACTTCGATTATAGAGCAGTACTGAGTAAAGGCTATCTGTAACTGTAACTTTGTAATTCGATTTCCTTCCTGTGTTTAGGACTTTCTTTCGAAATAGCTGTCCTGTTTTCACTGCTACAACATGATAAATATCGGCCTTCAATCAGAACAAGTTGCAGCCCATCGCACTAGTAACAATACGGAAAGAGGAAAGGACATTGTAGCAGAGCTAAGGTCCATCCCTGCCAAAACAAAAAGCGACTTTAAAATTGAAAGCTAAAAGGCAACGATAACAGCCGTAACGCAAATAGAAATCGTCAGTTGTTGATGCCTTGCTGAGCGACGGCAGTTAGGAACAGACGCGTTGATTTACGAAAAAAGCATCTAAAAAGTAGTCGAACAAACGAAAGAGCAAAATTTAGCGACGTAGAAATAAAATAGACAGGTTTGAGACAAGTCGATCAGACGTCCCTATCGTTTATAAGGATTATTTCGGCATCAATGGCAAATATACATATAAACAGCATGGATACTCAGTAGCTGTAAGAGTCGTAACTGATGGGCTGGTCGCAGGTAAAGTAAGCAATGTGTTGCTTTTGATCTATTTGAAGTGGCCAACTACAACGCCCATATTTAAATGTGTTGCGCAGTCGATTGTTACTGTTTCCTGTAATACCCAGGGAATTCAAACAAGCTTTAGGTACACCGTTTCGGTAAAAGCAACTGCAGGCGTTGGTAAACCTTTCGGCAACTGATGAAATCTCTGTGGGTGGCCCCTGCTCTGTTGAGCCTTAGACAAGCGCACCCAAAGTTCTTAAATTCTAACCAAAAACTCATTCTCCTGCTAAATTCACACAGGAACATCTACCAGCAACAGCCAACTGTTAATTAGAACCGCAACGATAGAACCATTTTTTAGAAACCTATCTTTTGATGAAGAACTTTGGCTTGTAAATCTTTCGTCGATTATAAATTTGGAAAACCGCATGTATCCATTAATTAAATTTTCTAAGATATTGGTTGACCGCACTCTTGCGTCTTTATTTTTCCTTGGTTGCTTGGCGGAGTTACATTCTTGCATTAAAGTTGTATACTTACATAAGTATAATCATTTCATTATCGAGATTAGTCACAGGTGCCATCCGCAATATATTAGACGAAGTGTTATTGTGATTTCGAGGAAGAATATAGCAAAAACAAATAAGCGAATGTCTCCACCTATAGTCCAAAATTCGTTAGTT